GACTGATTAAACACATACTCTTACGACTGAACATAGTACTATAGGTTATAACAATATGGTTAACACTGAGAATGTTACTGGTAGTGTCAATGGCAACATGAATAAACCCGCGAATTGCTGATCGAATAATAATCAGAACATTAAGGAATGATACTGGAGAAAAACTCAAATCAGGGCGATAGGGCTAGGGGGCTATAGGGGTATAGGGCTATAGGGCAATTGAGCCATAGGGCTATAGAGCTACAGGACTATAGAGTTGTGTTGTAGGGCTATAGGGCTTATGGTGATAAGGCTATACGGCACCCCCAGGCACCCCTGGGCACCCCCGGGCACCCGGGCACCCGTGCGTGCGGCGAAAATCGGCGGCAAACCGAACCTAACCATATGAATCCGCTAGGACCACTACAGAGGCAAGCTCTGATTTGGGAATTCAGAACACTAAGCATAATACGAATACTCAAAATGAATAGAAGAAGAATAAACAGAAGGAGAAGAAGAGGCAGAGGAGGGCGAGGAGGAGGAATCATCAGGAGGGAGTGGGAGGAGTAGCAGGAGGAGGGAGGAATAATGAGGTTGGTGATGGGAAGGAGGAGGAGAAGGAGGAGAAAGAGGAGGAAGAAGAAAAAAAAAGGAGGATGAAGCGGCGTGACCACCCACGGGCCTTGGTCCGCTCGTCGAACGTCATGCCCTTGTCGAAGCACTGCGGCACGAGCCTCTCGTGGTATGCCTCGGCGGCGATCAGCTCGTCCTACGCGCCAGGCTGTTGCTTGCTGGGCCTCCTCCTCCTCCTCCTCGCACCTCCTCGCTCTTCCTCCTGCTCCGCCTCGCTCCTCCTCCTGCTCCTCCTGCTCCTCCTGCCGCTCTTCCCCGCTCGTCCTCCTGCTCCTCCTGCCGCTCCTCCCCACTCCTCCTCCTCCTGCTCCCCCTCGCTTCCTCCTCGCTCCTCCTGCCCGAGCTCATCTCCCGAACAGTGCTTGTGCTGAAGGCTGAATTCTCGTCTTACTCAGGAAGTTGATGGGTCCAGCAAGGTTTCGCTACGCTGCCGCCCGTTGCCGCCTCGTTGCCGCCTCGTGCGCTGGGTGGGTCCGGCGAGGCTTCGCCACATTGTCACCCGTTGCCGCCTCGTGAGCTAGGTGGGTCCGGAGAGCTCAGGCTTGCACTAACGCTGGTGAGCATTCCTCATAAATATCTCCTCCTTGCCGCACCACCAGGCGTGTCAATGGGAAGGGCCAGGCGTTTCGCCTGTGATTTCCACACAGCGTTTGATCCCGAAGCGTGGCACCTTCCAGCAGCTACACGGACGGAAGGCCGTGCCTCTTTCAGAGTAGCTCTCTCGCCTCGGGCCCGCCCGCATTCGTCTCGAAACGGGTCTCTCGCCCCGTAGTCGCGCACATCCGCCTCGACATCATTAGGGGAACAAGAAGTGGCATAAGCATAAAACTCGGAGGTCCGCGCGGATTTCTCGGATCCGCGCTGGACCCCCCTGGCGGCGCCTCCAGCGCCGCCCCTGGCGCGCTCCGCGCGCCAGGGAGGAGGGTCCAGCGCGGATCCGAGAAATCCGCGCGGACCTCCGAGTTTTTATGTTTATGTCACTTTTTGTTCCCCTAATCACGCAGCAGTCACAAGATTGGAGGAGAGCTGGCAGCAGCTGCGGAGATCGAGAGCGGTACCTCTTCCAACTGGGGCTGTCGCCCGAGCGCCGCGCATGCTCGCGTCAAATTCTCGCAGCTACTGCAGGAGTGGATGGCTGTACCTTTTCGGCATGGGCCATGGGGCTCTGGTTCTCCTCCTCCTCCTCCTCCTCCTCCTCCTCTCCCTCTTCCTCCTCCTCCTCCTCCTTTTCAGCATGGGGCTCTGGTCTTGAACTTCCGCAGAACGGACGCCCAGGACATTGCACATACGTTACGGCTGCACGGGTGGAAGGCGATTCCTTTTCCAGAATGGAACTCTCGCTTGCGCCTGTCTCGAGCATCGTAGCCAACGAGCGTAACTCCGTGCAACACTTTCACGGACGGGGGCGGCCCTTTTCATGCCGGGGGTCTTCCTTGACACCCCGCCGAACTTTAGCATCGTACCTCGTGGCGTCCTTTCGAACTCGCTAGAACGATGCGACACAGGTTCCTTGTCACAGTGGGGCTCTCGCCCGAATGGCAGGCCCATGGAAGGAACTTGGGACGGGAGGGTGTATTGCAGGACGCTGAGGCATCCTGGCTTCCTCGGGCCCCCTCCTCCCCTTATCACTTGTCCTCCTCCTCCTCCTCCTCGCCCTGCTCCTCCGCCCTGCTCCTCCCTGCCCTTCCCCATTTTCTCCTCGTCGTTGTCCTCCTCCTCCTCCTCCTCCTGCTCCTCCTCTTCCACTCCTCCTCCTCCTCCTCCTCCCTCGTCTTCTCTCCTTCCCCTCTGTCCTCCTCTTCCTCCTCCTCCTCCTCCTCCTCCTCCTCCTCCTCCTCCTTCTTCTCCTCTCTCGTCCTGGCATGAATCTTGGGCGCGCTCGGTCTGGAAGTTCACGCTACTCTCCAGACCTCATCCCGCACCTGAGGCACGCAAAGCCTGGATCACTGCGTACCAGGCGGCTCCGTTGGCGTCCCTAGGCGATCGGCTGAATGACTACAGGCATGAGGAAGCACGGGCTGAGCGCAGGAGAGAGCCAGAAAGTGGGTTATGGGGGACCCCCCTCCTCCCTCGCCCTCCTCCACCACTCTGTCCCGCGCTTCCCTCTCCCTCCCCATCCCCTCCTCCCCCGTCGCCGGGTCCTGCGTGGCCTTGAGGTCCGCGATGTCCTGCTGCAGCTGGGACTCCGCCGACGCCTTGTCGGAGTCGTTCATCTCGATCTTCCTCTCCTTCTTGGCCTGGCTCTTCTTGGACCTGCCACGAGGGAGGCGCGGCAGCCTCAGGGCGTGGGCTGCAGCGCGGCGAGCCCTCGCCGAGCTCACGGCGAGCGCGCCGCCTGAGCAGCGAGATTTGGTGGGATCGATCGCAGGGCATCCTGAGAGCAGCCGCCGCAGCGAGATCTCGCTGGCTTGGCCTGGCCAGATATCGCTAGCTTGGTCGCCTTCGCGCACCGCCCAAATCGCCACAACGATCGCTGTTTTGGGGCATCGCGCGCCCCCGCCCGTGGGGGTCCACTAGTGGGGGGTCAGCCGCCCAAGGAACCTCGTCGTCGCTTTCGTCGCAAGCGCGAAAGGCCAAACACGCATGGGTTTGAAAACATCTGGGTCCACGAGACAGTCAGGACCCGCGGCGGTGGCGGGTGGGTCGCTTTGGATGTGCCGGGCAATCGTTGATCACGATTGTAATAAAACTCCAAGCTCGGGCACTCCTCCGAACGCTACATCAATGCCCAAACGACAACGGAAAGACAAATGAAACCTTCCGCGCCCAGCACCGTCCACCTCAGCGCACTCGTGGTCCAAACGCACCCCCCCATAAAATTCTAAACGGGCTTCCGCCTGCGGGGGGGTCTGGGGTCATCCACTCGATTACATTAAATTTTATTACGGATAGTGGATGGAGCCTAGTTTCGGCGATTCTGCCCAGGACGTCCTCACAAGTTGAAGAAATGTCGCCCCTGGTTTCGCCTGGTTTGGCCCGGCTGGGCGGCGCAAGCTGCCTGAGACATCCTCGAGCATTGCATGTGTTCACCCCTGGTTTCGCTAGGTTTCGGCCCAGTTTCGCCCGAGACGTCCTCGCAATTTGCTTGGTTTCGCCTGGTTTGGGTGTGGTTTCGCTTGAGACGCCCTCCCAGTTTGCTTGGTTTGGCTCTGGTTTGGGCGCGGTTTCGCCTGGCATGGCTTGGAGCAACTTCGATGCGCCTTGGGCCGAGCGTCGCCGGCGGGGCCCTTGCAACGTCCATGGTTCGAATTGGCGTACTACGCGCATGTCGAAAGAAATCTCCGCAATTTGCCTGGTTTCGGGCGCGGGCATGGCCCGACTACATCTTGCACGCGCTCATTGTCCTCCTCATCATCCCTCCTCCTCCTCATCGCGTTCCTCTCCCTACTCCTCCTCCACCTCCACCTCGTTCACCATCCTCCATCCTCCCCCACTTCGTCGTCAGCGGTCATTCAATGAGTTGCCCCTTGCAGAGGGCGGACCCGAGTCTCGTTCATTCAACTTCGCGGGAGCAAGCACGTGGAACAAGTATGGTGTAGTGAACACATACGGATCCACACTCTGCATTAATGTACAACAACATAACAAGCGAAGTGGGTGTGGACATCTGAAGCGCGGTGTTCGGCCACCGTGTCACATGGCGCAACCATCGCTCACATAACTCCTGCTGCTAGCTATGCGGCATTGGACAATGAGACGTCGTTTCGAAGAAAACCTTTCCCAGCCTGTAGCATTTGTATCATCTCTTGAAAACTCCATGAAGGGGCATATACCGCCGCTCCATTTTGTTGGGAACGCGGAGTCAGAGGTTGTGCAGGGAAGGCGGACTAAGGGAGCCAAAACAGCGGAGGGCGCGACAAGAGCTCAACATGGCACAAGGGGGCTCACGAGTATCCAGAAACTGCCCAAGAAGGCTCCGTGATATCCGCAGGCGACGGCGAAGGCAACCCAGATGTCACATCACAGGGGATCCAGCGAACAAAAGGAAGCTACTGGTTTCGATGTCGGCTTCTCCGACGGGTCCGCGGGGAGGAGGCCTGTGGGAGCAGGAGAGCCCTCGGCCAGATTGGATCGTGAACCAGAGGACTCTTGGGGAGGCTCCTTGGGTATCAGGGGAGGCTTCTCTGGGGTTTCACGGCGGCCTCTTTGGGGCCTCTTGGGCTCAACGGACGGCAGCGGCCAAGACAGATGTCGAATGCAACAGACGGTGGTGACAACCATCCAGCGCAGACGCATCGTAACCTCAGAACTGACACAAGCAGAATGCGGCAATCACGTAGGGCAGTCTCCTGCTGTGCTCATTTTGCGCATGAATGGACACAATTGCTTTAGGCAGGTCGGTAACGTCTGAGCGAACAAGACGCCCGCGCCCACTGAAACCTTCCAAAGTAATGCGCTAGTGTGCAACAATAGGCGCTGGGTGACTGGACGTAGCGCTTTTGATGCAGAGAGATGCCGGACTGAATCATGAACTGGTCGTACTCCTTCTGGCTTGAGGCCTCGGTGGTCAATCGCAAGCATATCACTTTCCTTTCACGCTCGGCCCGCTGCTACCATCCCGCGCCCTCCTGTTATCCGCCACCGTGACCTCTGGCACGTAGTGGGACAGTACAATGGCAAAGCTGCCTGGCTGTGTGTCTGTGCCTTTCTTTGACCTCCCCCATCTCGAAAGGCATGAGCTGGTTTCGCCGGCGCTGGTTTCGACGGCGCTGGTTTCGCCCCGCTGGTTTCGCCGACGGCTGGTTTCGCCTGCGCTGGTTTCGCCCCGCTGGTTTCGCCGGCGGCTGGTTTCGCCGGCGGCTGGTTTCGCCGGCGGCTGGTTTCGCCGGCGCTGGTTTCGCCAGCGCTGGTTTCGCCGACGCGAGCCCCAACGGGCGGGTCGGGTCGGGCGGGCGGACCCTAGCGGGCAGGTCGAGTCGGGTCAGGCGGGCGGACCCTAACGGGCGGGTCGGGTCGGGCGGGCGGGACATTAAAGCGCGGGGCGCGCTGGACCGAGCACGTGCGAACCCTAACGGGCGGGTCGGGTCGGGCGGGCGGACCCTAACGGGCGGGTCGGGTCGGGTCGGGCGGGCGGATCCTAACGGGCGGGTCTGGTCGGGCGGGCGAGACATTTAAGTGCGGGGCGCGCTCGACCGAGCACACGCGAACCCCAACGGCCCACGGGTGGGTCGGGTCGGGCGGGCGGACACCAGCGGGCGGGTCGGGTCGGGTCGGACGGGCGGAACCTCGCGGGCGGGTCGGGTCGGGCGGGAGGGACAGTTAAAGTGTGGGGCGCGCTCGACCGAGCACGCGCGAACCCTAACGGGCGGGTCGGGTCGGGCGGGCGGACCCTAGCGGGCGGGTCGGGTCGGGCAGTTTCGCCGACGGCAGCTGGTTTCGCCGACGGCAGCTAGTTTCGCCGACGGAGCTGATTTCGCCGACGGAGCTGGTTTCGCCAGGCGGCGAAACCAGCCGGGCGAGACCAGCTGGGCGAAACCAGCCGTCGGCGAAACCAGCGGTCGCCTCTCGAAGCCCCCCACGCGCCTCGACATCCCGCTGGCGGCCTCCAAAGTCTCCACGAGGTCCATGGCCACTACCAGACGACGCGAAGGCAGCCAAGATGGCTCAGAATTGCCCGAAGAAGAGGAGGAGGAGGAGGAGGAGGGAGAGGAGGAGGAGGAGGAGGAGAGGGAGACGAGGAGGAGGAGGAGGAGGAAGGAGGAACGGAGGATGAGGAGGAGGAGGAGAGGAGGAGGAGGAGGAGGAGGAGGGGGAGGAGGAGAGGAGGGAAGAGGAGAGGAAGGAGGAGGGGAGGAGGAGGAGGAGGAGGAGGAGAAGGAAGGAAGGAGGAGGAGGAGGAGGAGGAGGAGGACGAGGAGGAGGAGGAGGAGGGGAAGGAGGAGGAGGATAACGGAGGGAGGAGTCAGTCTCTCCGCCAAAAAGAACCGCCATAAGATCCAGCATGTTCCCAATGCCACCAGCCGCCCCCGATCGGCCCCCCACGAAGCACCCAAGGACCCAAGGAGGGCTTCATAACCGCGGAGATCACGAAACCGAGAAATATCAGAATCGCTACTCCTCGGACCTCTCCCAGGGTGCGTTCTGACCAGCATTTCGGTGCGATGCGTAGCGGTACCAGTCAGCCGTGGCGACGAGGGCCTCCCGGGAGGCCCCCCAAAGGCGAAAGCGAGGCGAGGGGTAGCGGTATCGGTCAGCCGTGGCGACGAGGGCCTCCCGGGAGGCTCCCAAAAGGCGAAAGCGAGGCAAGGGTAACGGTAACGGTTCCTTTTCCTCCTCTGAGATAGGGGTCGGTTCAACAATGCCGACCCCTCCCAGAGCCCTCCGTCCGCCGGCCCCCCCCCATCCCCACATGGACTCCTCCTCCTCCTCCTCCTCCTCCTCCTCCTCCTCCTCCTCCTCCTCTTCGTCCTCCTCCTCCTCGTCCTCCTCCTCCTCGTCCTCGTCCTCGTCCTCCTCCTCCTCCTCCTCCTCCTCCTCCTCCTCCTCCTCCTGGGGCGCCTCCGCACCCCCTATCTGATGAGGCCTGCCGAGTGGGGTCCGAGCAGATGTGTCGGGGGGTGCCAACTGTGCCCTCGGCCCAAGGTGCCCCCAGCTGCTTTCCTTGCCCTTATCGAGCCAGGGCTACGCATCATCCTCCTTGCCCACGCAGCTCCTGAGCCACGCCTGCGTCCTGCGGCGTTAGGGGAACAAAAAGTGGCGTACACATAAAAACTCGGAGGTCCGCGCGGATTTCTCGGATCGGCGCTGGACCCCCCTCCCTGGCACACGGATCGCGCCAGGGGCGGCGCCAAAGGCGCCGCCAGGGGGGTCCAGCGCGGATTCGAGAAATCCGCGCGGACCTCCGAGTTTTCATGTTTGTGCCACTTTTTGTTCCCACAGGCGTGGCGC